TTCCAGTTAATGCTTTCAGTCAGCGAGCCCCTTTAAAACAGCCAGCAAAGAAGAGAGGATACTCTGGAGGCAAATTAAAAGCACATCACATGGGGCTCCTGCTGTGTTTTGCCTTTGGAGATTTCTCTCTCTCTCCACTGACCTGGCGCCCTAATGAGGCATGTAAACCAGGGAATCCCCCCAGCAAGCGCGCTCACTTGCAAAGTTTGCAAAAGGAAAGATGTCCAGGGAGATGTCTGTACTTCTCACAGAATCAGCTAGCACCACTGGAGGTCAAATAGGAATTAAAGAAGTGACACTGGCAGGAACAGGTTCAACACCCCAAGTCTATCAGGGAAGAGAATACAGCATTATTGATTCCAGTCCCTGACCTTGAAATGATGTAAATAAGAGTATAGCAACCCTAGAGGAGTTGTAGCAAAATCATTATAGCATTGCAAGCAGATTAAAAAATACAGTTAATATACATACTTCCCCAGATGCTTGTTTATTATTATGCAAGACATGTTTATTATGCAAAATGACAGAGCAGGAAAAAAAAGCAGAGAAGAAAATGCAAAGACACACTGAGCTCTTAACGTGACTTGGATTTTTTCAATGCTGTTTAGAACCTTTTTTTATTGTCCATAATCATTCCCTTATTAGCTGGAATCTTTGAAGTGATCCAAGCTGTAGTTTCAGCATTTCAGACTCACAGGTTTATATGGTAAAATGATACTGAGCTCTCAAACGACCCAATTTTTCCCCTCTGTATTCTGTATCTCTGCTAGGGTTTTCTCAGTCTTTCCAATAAATTATGTATCACGATTTGCCGTTTCAAAAATAATTAGAACTTAAACAACAAGGAGTATCTGAGAGCAGTACATTTTAGAAGAGAAGTGTTATGCACTTGGGGCAAGACCAGTCCCAGCTGTAAAGTCACTGAATTATACATATTATTGCATTGAGAGCTGCAATTTCAGTGTACTTGGAGTGACTGGGTGGCCTGTGGAGGCTGTACAGCCCCAAAATGAGCATCTGCTCCAGGACAACCAGGTTGCCACTCAAGCAAAACACTTCCAGGCACTCCCCTCCCCATGCCCCTGTAAGCTGTTGCAGCAGGGATAACGGAGAGAAATCTGGGCACCAAGGAGAGAAACTTCACAGAGAAAGGTTCTACAGGAGTAGGAATTAATTTGGTAGTGGAACTATTAACTCCGGATAGAGACAGGAGAGCATGTTCTGTGTCCTCTCCCGTTACGATTAGGCTGTAAACTCACTGGAGCAGGACGTACCTCTTTATTCTGCATCTCTCTCTCCTCTGCAACAACCAGCATTTGGCCTCAGCTTCCCAAGTTCTAAGACAGTAAAAGTAATATCCACTGCCCTTCATTCGCTCTGTATACTTTTACTTTGGCATAAAATGCTAACAGTGGATCCTCAGGAGAGAGTCATGTCACTCCTCAGAGAGGATGCTGAAAAAAACCTTCATGCACCATCAGGGAATTTACAGTTGCTCCACATTATGAGAAACGGGAATGCACCAGTGACTCCACCAGCTTGTTAGGAAGACACATCTTGCATCTTACTGTCTGCAATGCCAGGTGCCTCAGACCAAGACCTGATTTTCTTGCCTACTAAGCACCTAATTTCCCAGCAGACCTCAGAGGTAGCAATAAGCTAGTCTGGGGAAAAAAAAATATAAATCAGGTACCTACTGTAAGTAAACAATGCACAAGTCAAACAGCTGCTTCCCAGACAAAGAGGCTTTCGCATCTAATGCATTTAGGCTTCTGAAGCTGGTTAGGGATCTATGGTTGGCTTCAACCCAGGCAACCCAACCCTACACTGTCCCTAGCCAGCCCTAACTGAACAGAAAAAGTAAGGAAACTCACTGCTGAAGGTACCACTGTGGTCAAAGATATAGGAGGGTCTTGCATGTTTCTACAAAGAGCCTTATCACCAAGTTTGGCTCTAGAGGACACCATTCAGCCCTGCTTTCAGGCTCATGGGCACCAGGAAGACTTTTTCCAAGGGCTGGTTATTCTAAAAACTCAATTCATTCAAGAGTCCATTGGCCCAAACTCAGGAGAAGCTGGCACAAACCATCTCTGAGACCAAGATGATAATAGGCTCTGGACTGATCCAGGGCAGAGGATGTCAGCCAAGGTCTCAGCTGATACACACAGATTAAATATCACCAAATAAACAAACCATCAGACAAAACCAGAACAAACCCACAGTGATGATGTGTTCAGTTACAGCCACAATTGGACTCAAGAGGAGAAAAAAAAAATACTAAATCCCTGGAAAGTCACATTTTATCTGAAAGCAGTCCCGGGTTTGAGGGTGTTATAAAAAGTCCTAGCAGGGCTAGGCCTGCAACAGAGAGCAGGGCAGGCAGCCAAGCAGCAGCAAAACTCCGTTTATCAACGATCCGTGTGAGTGAACACTATCTATGGAGAATATCGATCCATTTCTTTTTTTCACAAGTCCCTTCTCAGAAAAGAGTAGTGAAAAAACAAGTTTGTGCACAACACTGGCCCGAGACAGAGCAAAGCTGTAGTTTACGGTCTGCTAAGCACAAGAACAGGCATGATATGTCCTTTGGTATGCGCAGCAATCAGGTCTGGGCAGAATGGCCGGGGGCCCTGCTCACCCCAGAGAGGAACAGACTGTCAAGTCCTGCCAAAGCAATTCCCCAGCACAGTGTCTGAGACTGACACAGACATGCCAAATGTTGGCTTGGAGTAGGATCCTGGACCCACAATGGAAGCTGTAGCATTCAAAAGAGACTGCTTGGCCAGGCTAAGCTTTTCTCGGTCATATCCAGTTCTCTTATGAGACCCTGGTCTTATCCCTTGTCTTTGATGCTATGAGTTTCTTCCTGCTTCTAACAGGCTTTATCCACAAATTTAGTTTCTTTTCTTGCCTTGAGGTCTGCAACGTGAATTCATTGATTCACTGCTGTAAGACAGACACCAGTCAATGCAAGAAGAAAATCGTGTCCAGCACATTCCATCTCCCTAGAGAAGAGATGGGCCAGTAGTATCTATTTACTGCAAGCAGAAACCTTGGATCATGTTGATCAAACGAACAGTTTAACACTTATTAGTTCAGACAGAGCTGAATGCCGTCAAGCCATGGTATGTAATGAGGTCTACTTCATTAACCACTGGCCATCACAGTGCATCCTTTGCCGTCCCTGATTAACCTTCCTACTTAAGACAGGCACACTTGCTGAGAATAAGCAGGCCCCATTAAACCACTCACCTGAATATCTGTATGATCTGGTACCTTTTAGGACACTTCATGACTATCAGATTTCCCGGACACACAGTCCTCCCGCTGCCCACTGCCTCTTGTTACATCCCTATACCCTTTATATTGTCTCACTACTCCTAACAAGAGATACTTTTCCTCTGCATCATCTCTAATTTCTCAGCAGTCACTGTCATGTTTCCAACTCTGCATTTCTTTTGTCTGAGCCTCACACCTTTCCCTACCTTGCACTATTTTATTTTCAGAAGAAATGCTAACTCCTCATTGCTCAAAGAGACATCCCCCCCACAGGCTGGATGTGGCTCCATGACACACCTTGCTTTCCTGTAGTCCTCATTTAGAGGGCATGGGTGATATGAGGAGCCCCAGCACCAGGCCAGGACACTTTATGCCCAGCGCTGCACTAACACAGGGGAAAACATCAGTTCAGACTCCCCTGACTGTGTGCCTGGGGGGAAGAACATCCTCAGCACAGTGTAGTACTGTGTTATTGTATTGTCTCTAGGACTCTAATAGCTTTACAAAAAGAGGAAGTTTTCATTGTTAGTAAACTGATGTAATTTATTTAGAAGCAGTCATTTATGTTTACTGGGCTATGAAAGAACAGGAAGCGTCTGGCATCCACAGAGATCCAGATTGATCTCTCTGTCTCTTCTTGACATGCAGCCAGTTTTGAGACCTCTCTTGCCAGGCATACTAACACATCCACTTGCCGTTTTCTACCTTGAGCTGATGCGGAGACAGAGTTTTGTTGCCTTCTGAGGGAAAGGGGGAAATCCTTACCGTGTGAGTGGTTTAAAACAGTCCAGGAACAAAGATGGATGGCAAGAGTTAATAAAATTGCATAAGATCAACTCAAACTGTTTTCCTTTCACTGGTCCTATCTCCATTCTCACGTTTTAAAGTAAATGCCTAGCCAAGAGCAGAATCGCTGCACTGTAAATTTACACAAAGACAGCTGAGATTAGAATCTCAGCTATACACTTTAAAGATATCATAACCACAGAAATGAGAAGTGTTATTAACTATCACTTTTGACTATGTAGAACTAGAGCAAAGTTATTTGAAGAATAAAAAATTCTGGCAAAGGACCTGCCATATTTAATAAATCACTGAATCAATTATTCACTGTGAAAATCAATTACTACTTCAAATGAGAATCTTATGAATAACCTCATGCCCTTTCATGCCATCTAAGAAAGTTATAGTGGAATTAGTCAGTAAAAAATGCCTCACTTATCTTTTATATGCATTAAAAAGACCACACAAATACAAGGAAATTCTGCCAACAGAATAGTCCAGAACCGTTTTAATGAAGTCAGAGTATTGCTGTGGATTTACACTGCAGGCAAAAGCAGAGTATGACCCATCAGGGTACCACCTATGATCAGTTATCTGGGCATAATTCAGAAGTAATTCCATTCAGTCCATGCAATTTCACAAACGTGAAACCGGAACTTAACTAGCCAACCACACAACCTCCTTTATGATGTGACCTACATTAAGTAACTATTTAAAGGAACACAAAGTGTATCTTCACAGGTCAGAAGATAACTGCCACAAATCTCCGTGGAGATAAGTGAATATTGCATGGCCTTGCAGCAACTCCCCCCTTCCTGCTTTGAAAGTTTGCTGATACGTGACCATTTTCAGAAAAAGCTGCAAGTCTCAACGCAGTCTCTTCCCTCCCGCCTTCAAAACCAAACCACTCCAGGCACCCAACAGTGCAAAGTACTTACTGAGCTGTAGAGATATCCTTCAGCATTCATGGCAACGTACAAACCTGCCTTCACCCCTTGGATTGCCACCACGCGAAGACCCACAGGAATTAGATTGAAAAGGGCTGTGGAAGGAAAAGGAAAGGTTATGGAGACATCATGCTGTGTGGCCACTTCTGCTTCTTACCCCGGGGCCAGCCCACCCCACTGACTTTTAACAAAAGATACTGGACTAGAATCAGAAGACCTGCTTCTAGCTACAGGAAAGGTCTGTAGCATGTGGCTGCCTCCCAGAAGCCTTAACATACCCATCAGTCTGTCTGATCACTGCCTTTGCAGTGCCAAGGGCTCATACATGCAGTCAAACTAGCACATCTCAGCAGCTTTCCGTGGGCCAGCTGAACTGTAGTAATGACACACAAACACATCTTTGCCCATGGCAAAGATGACAACACAGTTTAGTTCTGAAACAGATTTAAGCCTAGTCATACTTTCTTGCATTTGCCATATGCTAAGAGTATACAGACAGCGACCATGGCCAGAAGGATGCTAATTAACTTGACGGTGTGTCTACCCCTGTGGTCTCTGCTGTCAAGAGAATGAAGAAACTCCAAAAGAGATAGTGTTCCAGGACCTGAGCACCACTCCTCATTCACAAGTAGCACTAGACAGGACAAAAAAATCTTTCAGTATTCGATTTTACTGCAATTTTATTTATTAAAGCACTGCAATCACTTCCTCCCAGTTAATTACTTTGTTGCTTGATTCCAAGTAAACCCGGTGTGTCATTAAAAGACCTTTGCCCTGCGCATATACATTTGTGTACTGTCAGGCTCTCGCTACACTTCTAACAGCATGGGCTCAAAGAAGGCAGGACTGTCAGCATTGATAGAATGAGCGCTGAGGCATTACCATGGTTTTGTTTCCACTGAGATTTACAGGACAAGAGTATCCAGATGTTGTAGAACACCTTGTGCTTCAGTTTATAGAGCTAACTAGGCCTTGTCCCAGGGAGCTCAGGATATGGCAAGATGGGAAGAGGGTTGGGCAGAAATGTGAGGACAAACACACTGGAAATACTTCACTCAAGGTCTCTTCCCATACAACTGCCCTTGAACAAGAATATTCTGGTCTGGTTCCTTAGTCATGAGCTCAGACCGCCCCTTCCACATTTGTGAAGCATTTCTCATGGCTTTGTAACACACTCACTTATTTGCAAAAGCCTGCTTGAAACTTCTTGAGAGCTTTGGGGTGTTCAAATTAGCCCAGGGGACACCTGTGAATGGGCAGAGTGCAAAGGAAAGACTGAGTGACAGCACGCAGTGAAACATTCCCATTTTCCAGCTGACCGTTAAAGACATCATCCTCTAGCTGATTCATTTTATAGATCATTTACAAAGTTTTATGCCTGACATCACTCTGGAGCAAACACAGCACAAAGGGGTCTTCATGTAACAGTAGTAGGAGAAGCAGTTCTTCCCTTTTCTCTGTGTCATTTCCAAACCTGTCCTTTCTAGGAGACAGGTACCACTTGATTTAACATCAGCCCTGAAGGATAAAGCAGCTTTGCTGAAATGGACTATTCAAAATGCTACAGCACCTCAGGCCAGGCTAGTGTTAATCCTGGTATGACAGGAGGTAATTGAGACCACCTCAACCTCCTCCCCCATCTCAAAAAGACTGGTTAGATTTGCATGGGCAAGGTATCACACGGATTTAACTCAACCACAAGATGCTTCCCAAGAACCTCTCTCATGTACAGCCTGTGAATTACTGCAGAGGGGAGGAGACAGAATGTGTTTAGATTCCTTTCCTAAGAAAAAAAAAAAAATCAAAACACAGCCAACATGGAGAGAAAGGAGGAGAAACAAAACAAACAAAAAACCAAACAAACCCACAAAACAAAATGAAACTTTGGCTTAATTCTTTCCTTGTAGCCAGTGGTTCAGACTACAGAGTCTGAACCAAAGTCCCAGGATTTGCACAATTTCTGAGACAAAGCAGAGCCCAAAGGGTGAGAAATGTAATGAGAAACTAGTTACATTCAGCCTGAACTCTTGGTAGATTTGCTACAAGGTCAGAGGTGAATACCTTTTCAGAAGCAAAAGCTGAAAAACACACAATAAACAGAACGCCACTTTGTTCAAGGTATCTGACAAGTGCCTCATCTGAGCTGGTTTCAGGGTTGTATCCAAAAAGGGATTCATCAGTCCCAGTTTCACATGAATGCTCTTTTTCCTCACGCAATTCCCAAGGAAGATTGGATGGCTCTCCTCAGTGAGCTGCCTAAAGGAAGGCACCTCAAGCCTAGTGAGAAGAAATCTCTTCTCAGCCCCTTTTCATGCTTTTAAGCATGATATTCATTAAAAGAGCAAACCATGTGCTGAAGTCTTGCCAAATCCAGTGCATGTGTTTGTGATTTTGTGGGAGGACATACACAGCAAATGAAGCCTGGGTATTGGTCTGGGAACAACTGGAGTCAAGGACACCGCTAGTCTGATACTGTCCCCAGGTGAGACAAACATAACCCAGTGTGGCTACTCAGCATTAAACAGCTGCATCATAGCAGAGTTATACCATCGAAAAGCTCACTAACCAAAGCAAGCTTGTATTTCTATCACTTTCTCGCTACCATGAAGGTCTAAAACCCCCTGCAATTAACAAGTCTATTTATAAGCAATTCCCCTTTCCTAATTTCTTCCCCCACTGAAAAATGGAGCATATTACTGCTAATAATGAAACAAAATGGGCATCATCATTCATTCCCTACAGTCAATTTGTCTTGCATAAAAAACTTGTGACAGGCCATTCAAAACATTCATTAGGCAGCAAGGTGATAATACGCAGAATTAGCGAGTGAGAAGTTCCACTTGGAAGCACTCAAACAGCTCCAAATTTCTCTTTTCACTACACATGCTAAGGGAGCACAAGAACAATCCTGCCTGGCCTCATGTTACGGTACCAAGACCACTGCCAGATCCCAAGCTCTTTGGGACCTGACTGCAAGCCATGGGAGCAAAACCCACAATCCCGGCTTTTAGGCATAGCAGAGCATCTCCTGCAACACAGTGCCGAGCAGGGCAGCAAGCAGGCAGGCAAGCAGGAGGACATGCATCTAACATAGCTCACTGGCAGTCAAAGAAGTTTTCGGAAGCAAATGTTTTCCTGTTAAAAAATTGGTTTGGGTCAATCAAGACTTCGTAAATTCTCAGAACTGTTTCTGCACTCAAATCTAGAATTATCTTTGAAGAAGTTGAATCCTTTTATTCTAATGCTTTCAAATAAATATTTAATCTTGTTTAGAACAGATTTAAAAGCTTACAAGCTTTATTGTAAGAATGTAGAAACATAGAAGGGGGAAGCTCTCAACCAATCTTGCGAGCAAGGTGTCTCATTTTTTGTCAGGAAAAAAAAATCTGGCTAACATGAAACTGCAGATTTAGATGGAGAAAAGGACTAGCTGTGGTAGAGTAGGATTGGACTTAAGGTGGCAAAAAAATTTAACAAATGCTTTTAAAGCTCTTTCTCTACTGCAAATGGTAGATTTTTCTATGCCATCTGCAACTACATGAAAAAGACATTTTTTTTTTAGTTCATGGGCAGAAGAAAAAAAAATCAGACATTGAATATTTCTGCCTATATTACTTCTCTACATCTCACCATTTTTAGCCATCAGTAGATTTATTTCTGACCCTGCTTATTGATGATACGATTTGTAGCATGCTCCAGTCTTAAACCCTTCGGTCACAAGTATGTTGCTCACTTACATTATGGCAGTTTATCAGCTGCGTAATGTTTTTAAAATCTGATCGCATACTTAGCTATGGGTCTAGGATAACTTATTTACAGAAATGGAAGAGTAAGGCAAGAAATGCCACATAAGACATGGTCTCTATGCTCAGCTGATTTACGCAGCAGTAAGTCAGAGAAGCTAGACTAATTTATATCAGGTGATTTGTTCTGGAGCAAAACATTTGTGCTGCACATGAATAAGGAAGGACTAAAGGAGGATGCAACAGGCAGCAGCAGCAGCCTTGGTGCATGACAAGATGTGGAGGTTTAAGATCTGGAGGAAAGTGAGGAAGGCTGCTAAGAGGCTGTGGTACAACATGCAAGAGAAGAAACAGAGAACTGAGTTTGCTTAGCTCAAAGAAGGGAAAGTCAGAGATAGGCTCTTCTCAGTGAAATGCAATGAAAGGACAAGAGACACCACACAAAAGACTCAGAAATTTTTTTAGTAGATATAAAGAAAATTCCCTACAACAAGACTAGTGCAGCACTGGAATCAGAGAGGTTATGAAGCTATGGAAAAACTTGTTCCTGGAGACATCTGAAACAATTAGACATGGCTCTGTACAGATGAAGATAACCCAGCTCCAAATAGGATGTTGGACCTTGAGAGGTTTCACCAGTCTTACTCTTTTTGTGGTTCTGGCTGGAAAGCCCCAAACAACATCCTAGATATACTGAGCAGTTTCCACCTGGTCAGCACAATTGACCTGTCCTTTATGAACCATCCATTTGCTGAGGCTTTTCAGGCATTCAGCAGAGTTATGCTGGCAAATAAAGTCAGTTGCTCTCACAAAGAAGGGGCCTTAACCTTCTCAGCCCCCAAAAAAGCAACAATGATTCAAGCACCTACAGCAAGTCAGCTCTGAAAGACCATCTGAGATCAGTGGAGCTGGAAAGAACAGATACTGCCCCAAATTCGGGTTCGCATATAACTTTACTAAGAACACAAGCAAGGACCTCATACACCATTTAATTGCACTACAATTAAAGAAAATTCTTCATATATGCCAATACAAGTAGGCAGAGAATCTCTCTTCTTGCTTACATTAAGATGGCGTGACTTTAACTGCATGGTATAAGGAACAGATGTCCCAAGTGCTGTTTCGAGGGAAGCTGGCAAGATGCCCATTCAAAAGCCATTAGAACTTGGCTTCTGGGTTTTTCTTTAAGTGAGAGGAGGTGGAAAATAAATGCCATCAGCCTCTCAAGAGCACACATAAAATGGTCACCAGATAATTAATTTAAAAATGCTTAAATATTAGCAGTTCCTCTTATATAAATGTCTGGTATTTTATTAGAACTTTTAATTGCATCAGACATATCTGAGGGACATGTCGTGTCATTTTAAATGTTTATTTTGCCAAAGTAAACCAACCTAATGTAATTCCATGAAAATTAAACTTCCTTTCATAAAGTTAATTTGAATAATCAGTGTGTGGCTACAGAACAGAGAGTGATGTATGGAACACAGTGTTTCACCACATATTTAACTGTGCTAAGATGGCTTCTGCATGGAGAATAAATGGTCACCCAGGGTGGGAAGGATGCTGCTGTGGCCATCAGGATTGCCCTTCTCTGCCAGCGGATGTGAGTTAACCAACCACTCTCTAGGAATATTATCTATCTAGTCTTTGAAGAGTTTTGCCCTTGAACGGACTTCTGACTAGCTGGTCAGGAATCTTCTGGAAAAATATTTTAAAACAGAGAATATCAGTGAGGTAATTCTGTAAGCTGTTCACTTAGACAAGCAAGTTTTGACTTTTGTCTGTTAAAGGTTGAGATGTTTGACTATTTTTTTCCTTTTGTATTCCTCCAGTGTGCTTTATTTTGTCATTTCCAAAGTGAAACGTGTTATTTTGTTTTAAAGCTATAACTGGAAGGTTCATATATTTAAAAATGTTGACTCAAACTTAAGATTTAAAGGAGAGCACGTGAGTAAAAAAAATACAAAACACAAAACAAAACAAACCTGAATAAAGCATATTCTTCATTTCATTTTCAGGTTAGATTTTTTCCACTTTAGATAACCCCTGAGATCAGGCAAATTCTTTGGCTTCAGCCTTCTCTCAAAAACTCCACTGAACTTTCCAACACAGCCCATGACTTTGAGCGAGTGGCTTGGCACACTTCAGCTAGATGTCTCCTGTCCCACCAAGCTGCCAAGGCAGGGCCGCTATCTCTCCAAGTAAACTGACACTCCAGAAGCACCCTTCGGCATATCTAATTCCAATTAAGAAGACTGTGTAGAAGCGTCTCACAAGTACTCAACACCTTGCCAAACCGATCTCTAACGGGGTACAAGAGCTGTTTGGGCAACTGGGGCCCAACCTCAGCCATGGCTACTCAGGAGGTTCCAATACACCACTAAAGGGCAGCCAGCAGCAGCTTCCCTCATCTCCTCTGCCAGCCTGAAATACTGTACAACTGCTCTTACAATTTATTCTCCTCTGCTGTTTACCTAAATTCATCCCTGCTTCCATTTAAGCCCATTACTTTGTTGTTCAGTCTTCACTGATAGATGAGGGTAATGAATCCCTGTCATCTCCAGCAGCTCTTCTCACGTTGGTGACAAATAGGCCTCCAAAGGGATTTTCTGCAGATTGAGAACACCCTATGTCTTTCTTTAAGAAAAAGCAGCTAATACACCCCAACACAGGGTCATTACCCACTAAAGCCCACTGAACTCATCCCATGTGTTGATGTCTGCCTAATTAAACCACAAGGCCAGGCTCTTGTAAGAAGAGACCTTCTCAGTCTCTTAGAGAGGAAAAGCGTGTGTGTGGAGGTCCACAGATTCTCCTGCTCCAACATAAATTAAAAGCTGTGTCATTTCAATTTGTGGCATTTCATTTGTTCAACATCAGCTTGTGAAAAATGGGACTAACAGCTGACGTTCACAACTGCTACAGGCCAAGTTTCTGGTGAACGCAGCCCCTTGGGACATTTCACAAGGGCTTTACCAGCCTCCCTCCATTTCAGATGCCATCTTCTGAATCTTCCGAAAGCTCCTCTCGTGCATGGACCCAAGCCCTCAGTGAGCTGCAGCAGAGCACTCCCACCACACACACCAGTCCTGCCAAAACGCTCTGCCAGCTTGGGGCTGGGGCAAACACCATGGATGCAGGACTGCAGCCACCCTGCACCCTTGTCCAAGCACATATTCAGAGGGCAACATCAACACCCTGCTACGTGTGCTGCATCACTGGAGAGACCCCTTGCCTGCAGCTCAGGCCCTGCCTTCCTGAATGAAGGATACCTTTGATCCGGCTAGGAGCTTCTTTGACTTAGAACAAGATTTGTCTCCATATTAAGTAGGTTTCTCCTAACAAGAAGTTTGATTCCATCAATCCTACCACAGAGACAAACTTCTGTTCATGTCTAATACTGCCTGGGAAGGCACCTTTCACACTGGACAGGCTTAGATATGATGTCCCTTCACCAGTGGCGTGGGGAGCTTCAAATTGACATAAGATGACACAAATCAAGACTTGAGTCCTACTCTGTTGATGCAGTTTGTGGCACCAAGGATCTGAACTGCCCACTCAAAGCATCAATCTGACACCTATGAAATGAACAGATGCTGTAGAAAATATCCTGCACCTTTTTTGGCCTTTTGAGGAGTTTTGTTATTGACAAACTACTTCTTTTGCAAAAGGAAAATTTGCTACTGCTTTGTATTCGTTTAAACCAATATGGCCCTGCACATGAACATAGTTTTTAAATCTCCACAGCTCTGCTACACTTTGCTGTCCTTTGGCTGGAGAGCATGAACCCAATCCCTTTGAACAAGGTTTTGGAAGATGACCCCCTTTGTAAAGGTCATTTGATATCCTCATGCTTTACAGTAGCCTCGAAGTATGAGGCTTTAGAGAACAGCTGGTTTTCTCCAGCCTGGAAATTCCTGATGCTTGCGGAATTTTTCAGGATAAAAAAGTGAAAATAATTTTCTCCTCTTCTCCTTGGAGAGAGAATTCCCCATATCCTTTACCCACGTGGCATGTGTATAAATATAAATCTCCTTTCTCTTCTGGCAGCAATTCAAATCATGGGTTTTATTCTCCACCCCACCCAGATGGCAGTTACAGAATCGGAGCAGGAGGGAAGAACATCGGAGAGGAAACATATGAAATTACACAGGGAAGATTTAAAGGGGAAGGACAGATAGAAAAATATGCAGAAAACAGCTGGCTTTTTCCTAATTTGATCTTTTCAAAAATAAAGCTCCACAAGTGAGACCCACTAGGTGATGCATTTGATTGTAATTGAGTTGCAAAATAGGCTAATTTTTCTTACTGTAGTCACTGTTTTCGTCCTTGGTCCCATCAATTGTGCCATCTGGGTGCATCTGCAGGAAATATTTTTTTTGAATAACCTTGTCACAATTCCTTTCAGCTGGGGTTCTGCAAAAAAATAATAAAAATAATTATTAGATATACCAGTCGCAAGAGACCCAATTTGCTTGGCCCCCATTAAGCCCTGAGTAAATGTAGAAGCGCTTGGCAGGTAAGACAGCTTTCTGCTATTCCTTTCGAGATTGTTGTAAAATATTCATATATACATAAACTTACAGGCATATAAAATTGAGATCAGGTGAGCAGGTAAAATGCAACGCATAGTTGGTGCAGCAGAAAGTAACAGATTTACGGAACATTGCTTCACTGAAAGTTACCTACCAAATGAAAGTCTTTAGACAGCTTATGTATTCTGGATATGTCACTCGTTCAGAAGAGTATTTGCTAGTAGTGTTGCAAAGAACTTGCATATTGTTTCTTATTCTGCCTGTGAAGCCAACTACCTTGCTTTCTGTATGGTTGATTCACTATTGTGCAGTTCCAGTGTTTTGTCAGAGAAAAACCTATTTAAATTGCTGGTATAACAGTGGTGTAAAACCAAAGTAACCGAGTGCTGAATCAGGCTGCATGAGTCCAACTGTGTGGGACTCTGGCAGCAAAATTCTGAAAGGAACAGATGCAAAACACCTCCAAGGCATTTATGGGCATCTTAAAATGCCTGTGTTTTAAAATCCTGCATGTTCCTTCCTCCCAAAACACATACTCTGGTAGATAAGAATCATTGTTTGCCTCTAGCAGGGTCTTTTCCCAGCCCCTGTACATCATGGGCCAGTCATGGACAGGCTGGGGGCTTGCCTACTCTCCCTGCAACATTTTATAGCTGTGCTGAAGAGGAAAAAGAAAACATGGAAAAACTAGAAACAATTTGAACTTCACATGGCAGAGGTCTGCAGCATTACCATCTGTCTCCCCGCCATTGCACCAGTTAAACATGATCAAAAATAAAGTCAATTCTAATCATGCGAGTCTTACAATTTGTCACAGGCACTGCTTCTGGAAAGCAAGCTATCTGGCTACACATGAACAGGCACTAGCTGGATGGCAGAGATTTTCCCTGCATGACAGAAGTTTGCAGTTTTAAGTGACCACCCACCAAAAGTAAATAAACAAGACCTAGTTATTGCTGGCTTAATAGACAGGAAAAAGTCCAGTGTAGCATATCAAAAAAATCTCGTCAGCCTCCCGTCTTTCACGCCTCTAGTGAGGCTGTTTAATAAGCCGTAATTGTTACATAATTCCGGTCACGTTGTGTGTTAAGTGTTTCCATTAGGAGCCCCCATCTCTAATGATTTTGCACCGCGCTGCACAACTTCCCTGGGAGGACGGCACCGTCAGCCTGCGCTTGGCACCGGCAAACCCCCAGCAGCACGCAGGGACCTCAGAGGCAGGCAGGCTGCAGGTGAGAAGGACTTCAGCTTCAGCAACCTCTCCGCCAGCCTAGGGGGAGTCAGGTACTACTTAGCATGTACAAAATCCACTGAATAAGTCAGTATCAGCTGGTTTCTATGCTGCCTTTAAAAAAGTGATTTCATAGACTGCAGGCAGGCTGTTTCCCAGCAAGACTCCATTCTGGGACAGTAAATAAATACTATTGTATTGGCCATCTACTAAGTGCTAATGTCAGTAAATCCAATATATGTCAGATTCAGATTTAGATTGAGCTAAGTGTTTTCCTTGCCTCTTACCAAGATGAGGTATTTAGTTTCTTGAATGCAGAAGCTTCATTTAACTTACTTTTCTAACAAGGACATCAAAACTAGAAGAAATGAAAAACTATTCTCAGACACAGATGACTGCACCACCCTCCTCAAGCCTGTCCCCTTCCTGCCTTTTATCTAATACTACAATAGTAAAGGCACTAATAGGCACTCTGATACGTCAGACCTACATCTGAGTCCCTGAATGAGTCTTAGCCTCATTTTTATTCTCTGGTTAAATTTTAACATTTAAATACTTGGCATGAAATGGAATAGCCCCCAGCAGGGGAGATTCAGAAGATGCTCCTGCAGCCTGAGGCTTTCTGTGTGTTGAGTAAAGAGGGAAATTTTGTCTTAAAGTCCCTCAAGGATAAGAGGAGGGAAGATGCAAAACAACCCTGACTTTTTGCCCTTTCTTGGGAAGACAATTTAGCTACAGGATAGAAGGACCTTCTTTGGGGTGCAAACTACACTTCGATCATGGATATCACTTCTGAACAACATGAAAACCTCTTCCACTTTTACTAAATAGCCTACCAGGGAAAATATAGAGCAAATCTGTTCATTGTTAGGACCTTCATGTCATTTCTAGCAGTTTATTGGAACAGCACCCAAGATCCCCTGAGGCCCTCCTGCATCTTTGCTATAGATACAAACACGGTTGCACCAGAAGGCCAAGTGTCACCATAGTAAAACACAGGGTAAAGCCCAGGGGTGCCTCTTTGTTACTGATCTGACAAACAGTATCAGGTCTGATTCAAGCTTTAACAACTGTCCTCTTCACAATCCCAGGCTGTTCTGAGTCAATGCCCACCTAGGGACAGGAAGCAGAGCAGAAATCTTATTTTACATGTGCTTTTTTTTTCCCTGACCTGACCTGGTTTTGCTGAAGTTTGAGGCTCATGCCCATACTCAAAGGGAGCAAAGCAAAGAGCTCTCAGCCATACACAAAAGCATTACATTCCTCCTGGCCCTAACGCAGTCTGACAGCAGCAGTGTTCCTGTCTCTCTTCGCTGCACAAATACTCTTCTGCAGGAGCATCCCCGCTCCCAAGACTCATTTAGGATGCCCTGCAGCGCCAGCAAACAAATGCCTTTTCCGGACACCAAAGGGTCAGAAAGCAATTTGGAGACATACAAGATCTCTCCTTTCCCATTTTCTGCATTTCCTTGGGTGTCTCCACAGGAGAGAAGCACTCGTGAGCAGCTGCACCTTTGGGTACCTATCTGAACTAAATACCAAAGCAGCGTAGGTATGTGCACAGCCAGCACCCAGTTCTCTCTTCTAACACAGAGCACAGTGCAGGACCCAGGAGGGAGCTGCCTAGGGAACAGGGGATTTCTCTCACCTAGTACAGCCATCTCTATACCCGAACTGGGTTTGCTTTGCATTCCAAAAATCAACAGGCAAGCCAGACCAGGCCCATAGGGTCCTGACACCACCTGCATGTCTCCACTGACTGCAGAGAGACCAGCCCAAGCACTAACAGCTACACTACTGACAACAGCCAGCAAAGTACCTGCTTCCTACCGGGGATCATGTCTGGGCATGAAGAGGGATATTGGGATTTGTCATTCATACAGCAAGCAGTGTGGCTGGGAGGCCTACAGACAAAATTTTAGGTGAAGGCATCTTTTAACAAGGAACAAGGATTACCCATCTTTCTCCCCAAAGCTCACTACAGAGTTATTACCTGAAGTGGGAATTGTATAATCACAGGACAGGATTTTTCCTGCTAGCCCAGAGGCAAAGTTTGACACATGACTTAAAAAGACTCCTGACTTTTGTCATATCATATATTTTAACATCACTTTCTTCAATCTACAGAGCAGTTTTACCAGTCTTTGGTATCACAGCACTGCTATCCCTTATGCTGCAGCAGTCATGCTGAAAAGCTGCTTAACGAAAAATCTCAAAACCAATAGGTCTTCTCGTCAATTAAGGGTGGTCGGATACCCTGATAAATCAGAACAGAAGGCAGAAAAACAGTGAAGTAGACTGAGAATTTTACACAGTATTGCAATGCAAAAAAAAAGGCAGAGAACAACCCTTTCCAGCAGGAAATATTCCCGGTGCTTATTGGAGCAGTAAGGGAAAAAATTAAAATCCCCCAACCTGGCTATTTTTGTTTAAAGTTCCCTCAACAATACTGCTCCAGACTACAATAAATAAGAGAAAAAAAGCAAACCATATAAAAAACAAACAAACAAAAATGCAGCACAGATAAGCACAAACCCTGCCATGAGCATCCTCCTTCCCTAATGTACAAAATTTACTAGGTATCAAACTCAAACTTACTCTCTAGCCTCATCCTTGTATAGCAAGGACTTGCATCCTCTTGCTTTTAAAGGAGCAATACTGCGTAAGGTACTTGGGATAAACGCATTCCTCCCACTCAGGCTCATCTGTACACTTTTCTGTTCTGCTGTAGGAGGAGCTCTCCCTGTAGAAACAGAACTGAACTCATATGGGCAAGACTTCAGCACCAACAGCATTTCCCTAAACACGAAGTCAAGTACTCCTGATAGGATTTAATAAAGTTATGATTCCTTTGATTCCAAAGCACCAACTAAACACAAGAGATTTCTATGCAGTATGCATTTCCAGTGCAGACCCTGTCCTCTCTGTGTTCCCATGCAATAAACAAATGGATATTTTTACCTTTAATTTACAAGCAGTACTGTTATACTTCAGGTTGCTTACTTTAAAGAGCCTGTTTTTGTTGCTCACACACAGCTGTTCAGGGCTGGGAGGTGCTGGAGAAAGCTCAGTGAACCACTCTCCTTATGCAGATGCAGGGAGCCCAAATCCCTCAAGCACAGTGCTTTCAGAAGACACAGGAAAAAAGCCCATGCCTAGGAAGCATCCCCAATTGGCATAGTCACAGTGCAGAAAAAACCAGTAAAAGTAACACAAAGGAAGAGCTAAGCCATGGCTCTGTTCCTGGCCTGCAACACCTGCCAGGGTAGGAGTTTTCCTGAGAGTGAAGATATGGTTCCCAGCTCAGAACCCTCCTTAGAAATCCAGCAGCCAATAAACTGCAGAGCCTCTGAAGGGCACCCTGCTTGCTTGCCTTTCCACAGGCCAAGCTCACTACTTCTCCTTGCCCTGCCTTCAACTTTCTAAACCCTTTGACACAGCTGAGACTAACTAAATCACGATCCGATCTCCTTGTCTCTACTTATATGGTAATGTGATGATGCTATTATTCATTTCAGCTGTCCTGATGCTGAGCCTTAAAGTCATCTCAGTTCACCACCAGCTGATGTGCTTCCTGCCTTATTGTACAGGGATTTTCAGTCTCCTGGGGCTTGCCAAGGACATGACAGTTGCAGGGTGCTCACACATAC